ACAAAAAACAAATGTGTCCTATATTGGGGCGGCTTATCATTGACAGGCACTGAAATAGGAAAAAACTGGGACTGGGGAAACAAGGGTGTACATGCGAAACCCTATGGTGAACGTTGATGAGGGAAGCCAAAGGTGCTAGACTGGATTCTTCTATCCATGAACCTGAGGGGACCGCACAGGACAAAGCGGAATGGACAAATAGACTGCGAGCCCTATGTGACATATAATACCCTTCTAGGGCAAAATGAATCAATGATACTCCCAGTGCGGGCTCCTGTGCCCTATATGGGTGGCAAACTATTAGAACCACAGCCCGTCAAAAAATATGTCGTAGGTGGAACAACAAGAAACTTCAGATAGAATTTACAGACCGGTAAACGCTACGCAAAATTAAAAGGAGGAGGTGGAGGAGGAGGAGGAGGAGGAGGAGGAGAAGAAAAAGAAGATGAAGAAGAAGAAGCAGAAGAAGAACAAGAAAAAGAAGAAGAAGAAAAGAAGAAGAAGAAGAAGAAGAAGAAGAAGAAGAAGAAGAAGAAGAAGAAGAAGAAGAAGAAGAAGAAGAAGAAGAAGAAGAAGAAGAGAAGAGGAAGAAGAAGAAGAAGAAGTAAGAAGAAAGAAGAAGAAGAAGAAGAAGAAGAAGAAGAAGAAGAAGAAGAAGAAGAAGAAGAAGAAGAAGAAGAAGAAGAAGAAGAAGAAGAAGAAGAAGAAGAAGAAGAAGAAGAAGAAGAAGAAGAAGAAGAAGAAGAAGAAGAAGAAGAAGAAGAAGAAGAAGAAGAAGAAGAAGAGGAGGAGGAAGAGGAGGAGGAGGAGGAGGAGGAGAATAATAACACCAGCATCAACAAGAACAAAACAATCACAAAAGAAACAAAAAGAGCATTAAATGGACAAAAAAAAAATCACAATCAAATCAATAGTTCAACATAAAATGGTTGACATACTCACTTGCATCAAGTGGAACAATCTCTCCATTCTGGCACTGATACTCTCTACAGCCATTACCAATACGAAACTTCTCCAACGACTCATAAATTCTCCCGTTCACCTCGCAGTTCTCAACTCTAGGAATGGCGATTTCGTTGCTGTACTCAAATCCGTCTGCAACTTCAACTTTCCTGCATTGGTAAGTCCTTTCTTGATAATCAAACATTAAGTTCAGCCGATGGCAGTTACCGTCGATTTCTTTGCCACAAGCTGAAACATTTCAGTGGGTAAATAATAAATTAGTCGACAGACCATCCTCATTGTATATTAAATCATTCACCCTCTAACCACTCGCATCCCCTTCCGATGTAAATCCCGAAACCTATTGTAGCTGACGATATCAGTTAGGTTTTGATTTATTATTCTTCTATGGCCTCTAGTTTAAAAAAAAGAACGCGTCGCCTTCAGCGCCACTTCATCCAGTATGAGAATGGAGGTGGAGGCAGAAAGCAGCAGCTTTCCAGTGGCTTGATAGCAGAACAGCCTGCAAGTAATTGTAGCAGACTCACAGGGCATGCTTCTGAAAATTGAAACTGGCCCCCTGCGCGCAGAGTTTTTGCATTACTTGATAAGAACTGAATCAGAAGCATATCGTGGATCTCTCCCCCCCCCCCCCCCCCCCTTTTCCCCCCCCCTTATAAGATAAAAAGGAGTGCGAGGTAACGAGCAGACGGATAGATTAGCTGCTGCTGCTCCACTGAGGGGCGAGCTACTATATGACAAAACGGATATGGTTGAGACTGTATGGCATTAGATGGACAGTGCAAAGAAACAGAGAATCTTTACATTGAAGGACTAATTCAGCGTGGGGTTTGGAGAGATCTTGAAGATGTTAAGTTTTGAGGGGGAAACAAGCATATATTTAATCAGGTTGCAACTGATATTGTTAGCATGTCGGCTCTTCGTTGACTACGTGGGGGAATGTTCCGGCTACAGAGATGTCAGTTCATTCATTCATTCATTCATTCATTCATTCATTCATTCATTCATTCATTCATTCATTCATTCATTCATTCATTCATTCATTCATTCATTCATTCATTCATTCATTCATTCATTCATTCATTCATTCATTCATTCATTCATTCATTCTTTCATTCATTAATTCATTGACTTCCTGCATAGTGATCCTGTCTTTCTACACCGCTTTTAACATGTTGATCTTAAGTCTTGTCATGGTTGCAGATTCCCCTGGTTTTCGCAAAAGTCTCACTTCTCGTAGAGTATTCAGTATACAAGATAGGCCTATGGCTCGTCCGCCCTCCACAGCAACTTTACCTGCAAACCTATCAGCCTACTCATTTCCTCGCACGCCTGCATACCTGGAACGAAAACAAAGCTGAACTTTGTCAGGCCTAACCGTCTTCGTGTGTACAGAATGGGGCAAAGTTTGTCACAGTTTTATGCTAGGAATTTTTTTTGCTAATATCTTTTCGAGATATTTCCTGATACCTATTTACTGGAATTGGAATCGCTGTGTCAATTATAACAAAGTATCCTGGTGCAGATCTGAACCCAAGAACTTCACGCCAAAAGAAAAGAGTCAAGCCACTGAGCTACCATGGCTTCTATGATGTATGACGATGACGATGATGGTGAAAATGAAAATAATTATGATGATGTTAATGATGTTGACCATGATGATGATGACAACAAAGATAATGATGATATTGATGGTGTTTGTTAATGATGATGATGATAGTAATGATGATGATAATGATGATTTTTATTATGATAATGATGATAATGATAATGATGATAATGATAGTGTGGATAATGATGATGATCATGATGTTATTGACTGTTTACTCCGGTGATGAAACAATATTACCCTCATAGTATGTGACTAGTTTCCCGAACTGGCACTGCAGTTGGGCACACCCGTTGCTATGGTCTAAGATTTGCAGATTTTCGTAGTTCTTTCCGTTGGACGTGCATCCTGTACAAAGTAATTCAATATGGAGACAAATTAGGACTCACTGTTGACACACAAGGGTACCGCTTGGTGGAATGAAGAAGTCAAAGAAGCAGTGTCAAATAAAAAGAAGATGTTTCAAATATGGTTAAAAACAAAAGACGAAAAGGACTACATTAGGTACAGACTAACTCGAAGAGATACCAAGAGAACAATAAAGAAATCCAAAGAGGAATCATGGAAAAAGTATGGTCAACACCTAACTACAGTACAGAATCATCAATTGATTATAATGAAAATGCGATTAAGAAATAAGCTTCTGAATCAAAGAAACCGAATTACACAAAAGAAACTACATTCATGGGAGGAATATTTTAAAGAACTTTCACCACGGTAACCGAATAAGGTGACGATCCATTTCAAGGGCTTCATCTAGAACCACAACGCGGGATGAAGGAAGAAAGAAACTTTGCAGACCCCGTTAGACTACTAACAACAGAAGTCATCCAGGCTGGAGGGACACTGATCAACTGGAGGAATTTTTTTAGAGCAAACGTGCAGTGGATTGGCAAACACATGTAGGCGTCTGGGAAAAAAGGAAACTACCCAGATACTAATAGAGAATATCTTTACCAGTCATTACCAAATTTATGCAAATATCTTAGAAGTAGGATACCTGCAAAAACCTCCCCAAGTAAAGCACTCGGTTTCAAAGGGCGAGGTTGCCGATGGACACTCAAGTATCCGAAAAGACACTCGAATGTGTCATAAATTCCGTCTTTTAGAGCTAAGAAGGCATTCGACCAGTGACAGGATTGCTGGGAATTCTTGACGATTATTTATGGGTCAATTCTTAGACAACATCAGCCCTCTATGAAAAAAGTGAAAGTGCAGTAAGAACATCGAGTGTCTTTTGAATTTCAAATCACAACTGGTGTCAGACCAAGGATGTGTACTCACCATTACTTTTCATAACATACATGGCGATCACGTAGAAGCAAACCCAGACGTGTATGCTATAAACGGCAAGCGAAGATGATCTAAAGCCGACTGTATCAAAATGAACATGATCTACAGGAACATCTGTGTACTCTCAACAACAGCTGTTTACAACATAATATGAGAATCAGTACAGAAAAAAACAGAAGTTATGAAGATCAGCAGAAACACACAGGCCACTGAATATAAGTGTTGGAAGTGCCAAAATCAAGCAAACCAAAGAGTTCAAATACTTGGGCAGTATATTTACAGAGGATGGAAGAATGGACAGAGAGATAGAAACAAGAATACAGAAAGCAAATGCTGTCACATACCAACTATCACCTCTGCTTAAACATCCAGATATATAACCATGAAGACCAAAAGACAATTGATAAACACCATCTTCATTCCAACACTCTGCTACCAGTGCCAGACATGGACAATCAACAAGACCCACGAAAGAAAAATAGAAGCCTGTGAAATGAAATGTCTAAGAAAAGCAGCGAATAAGACCAGACTAGACAGGATAAAGAATAAAGACATTAGAAACACTGTCAAAACTACACCATGTTTAGACTACATAGAACATCAAAGAATGAAATGGTTTGGACATCTAACCAGGATGAAAAATGATCAAATAACATCACAAATTTTCAACCAAAGAAGCTCAGGATATAAGGCAAGAGGAGGACCAAGGAAACTGTGGATTGACGGGGTCTCCGAAACCTGCCAAAAGCATGGCCTCAGAACATCAGATGCTGCCCGCCTTGCTTACGACAGGAACTTGCATCTCCCCACAACGCTTAGCGGCATACGTGGAAGGAAAAAGTAAAGTAAGTAAAGTTGACACATTTATAAAATCAAAGCAATGTTTCCCCGTTGTCAATGTGAACAAACAAGGCACAAACAATAGACTGCACTATTTATTGCCTGGCTTATTTCGCTGTATCTCGTCAGGTGCATACTACAGTAACAATTGATTATAATGAAACAAATAACTGAATCAAAGAAACCGAAACAAAAAATCTACTACATTCATAAACTTGTGTTTCACCAAGGTAACCGTAAAGTGACGATAATTTCTTTCTGCCAAACGTAGATGCGGAAGCTGAAACTTTGCAGACCCCGTTTGGCTACTCTTTTCGATTTCCAACTGCAACGGGATTTTTTTTAAACGTGCGCTGGTATACACATGGGCGTCTGGTCTTACTACCCAGATACTAATAAGATTACCAGATTACCAGATTTATGCAAATACTAGAAGTCCACCTGAAAAAAAACCCCAACCTTCACTGGGGTTTAAACCCGGGACCTCAAGCATCCGAGGCGTGTGTCATAAATTCCGTTTTTAAGCTAAGTAAATTACCAGTGAATGTTGCTGGGTCCCTTATTTATGGGGTTTCTTTGTCCCTCACCCGGCGTGCTGGAATGTCGAGTGTTGAATTAAGAATCGACACCATAGCTCTCATGACACTCTCATAAGCGCTCCGTCCCAACCTTCAACAGCAAGCGAAGAGTTCTAATTCCGATGGTACCAGTAACTGTCTGATTGTATATCCGTCTCGGTTTTATCTTGAGTGTTGAGCGTCGGCCACATGCCCTTGTAACTCCTCGCAGCGCCATTCTCCTCAGACCGTAACGATCTATCTGTGCCTCAGTCCTGTTCACTCGCTACCAAAGGACCATCAGGATATCTCATCATCATCATCATCATCATCATCATGTAGCAGGTCCTTTGCAGAACGTCGCTCTCATCATAGTCTGCCTGAAAGAAACTCGGTCTCTCCGCCAGTTCCACTGCCGCATATACTTTCATACTCAAGGAGTCACTTATATCCTGTGCCCATCTTCGTGTCGGTCGGCCCCTGCCCCTCCTTCCTGGTACCATGCCTTCTGATATAGTTTTTTCCAATCCGTTGTGGCGCTTGATATGACCACAATGTTTCAGCTTTTGAGAAAGGATGCTGTTTATTAGCCAATCTTCCTTGATGTTCAGATCTTTTAAGATGTCAATATTTCTCCTCTTTTTTGTCCAAGATATTCTGAGAATCTTTCTATAGCATTTCAGCTCAAAAGCTCCTATTCTCTTTCTTAAGGACTGAGAGATAGTCCACAACTCACATCCGTATGTAGCTACAGGGAAGATGCATGCTCTCAAAATTCTAATTTTAATCTCCTTGCTGGTGCTTAACCATAGACTTTTAAGGCTGTTCAGTCTTTGCATTGCCAAGGCCATCCTCCTTTTAATTTCTGTTGGAACAATCTCCATTGCTGTTTATTATAGATCCTAGATATTCAAAGTTTGTGACATTTTCAATTTCTTCATCATTTATTGTTATTTCTGGGTGACAGCCAGTTTTATCTGTGGACATTATTTTCGTTTTCTTTAAATTCAAGAACAGATTTTGATCTTCACTGTGCTTTTGGACGGACAATATTAAATTTTCGATTCCTTTTACGCTGTTCTAAAGGAGGACTGTGTCATCTGCGTAGCGGAGTTCCGGAATAGGGTTGCCACCAATTTTGAGCGGATCATTACTGTCACAAGTCGGGTCATTTTTGACATTTCTCATTATATTTTCTGCGTATATATTGAATAGGTATGGTGAGAGAATGCACCCCTGCCTCACCCCCTTTTGCACCTCGAACCAATCAGATGTTTCACCAGCTGCTCTGATGGCTACTTGTTGTTCATGATAAAGATTTTCAATTATATGCACTAAATGCGTTGGAAACCCCATACTTTTCATTTTTGGCTTCCATGATGAGTTTCTTGCACGATATCTAGCTTGCCATAAATCCATTCACCAACAAGTCGTGCAGAACTGGCAACACCAACAAGTCGTGCAGAACTGGCAACACCAACAAGTCGTGCAGAACTGGCAACACCAACAAGTCGTGCAGAACTGGCAACACCAACAAGTCGTGCAGAACTGGCAACACCAACAAGTCGTGCAGAACTGGCAACACCAACAAGTCGTGCAGAACTGGCAACACCAACAAGTCGTGCAGAACTGGCAACACCAACAAGTCGTGCAGGACTGGCAACACCAACAAGTCGTGCATAACCGGCCAGTCTATCTGCCTGCTTATTTCCCAACACACCGGCATGACCTGGAGAAAATATCCGAAGAATGCAAATACCAGGGATCTCTGAAACGATGCTGGCGTGGTGGAGAAGTGGTCGAAGTATAAGTGTTTTCTTGAAAGTCGGAATACACCATCCTACAACAACGCTATTGCTCTCTGTCTGTCGACACTGGTCAAAAGACTTTTCTAAAAGGTATCAAACCAAACGAATAGAAGAACCAGTTAGCTTTACATTATCACAAATACGGACGAGAAGTGAACTGTCGAGTTTGACAGCCTTCATCAGCACATTACATTAATTTACAATGTAAAAAAAAAAAAAAAAAAAAAAAAAAAAAAAAAAACAAAGAATACATACAAACACATAAGTTGTCTCCGAGAGGATTCACTTATCTGTCTAGCTAGCTGAATATCTGAAACGTGTGTGAATCAATTTGGCCAGAAAAAATAGTGAACTGCAGTAAACGTTATCGTCGACCATACGCCATTTTAGTACGTTGTGATAGTCTTAGTTTTAAGCTTCAAAGCAAACGGGTCACCCCATCCTTGCTCTGCTCCCGTGACAACGAAAAACACACAGAATGTTTATCAGTCTCTTGTGATAAGATTACCAAACTGCTGTCTCAGCATATGCACTAGCATACACACACATTAAAAGCATACGTTAGCCATCCGAAGTGCTAACACAAACAGTTTGACATTAGAAATGCAGTTTATCATTAATGGTAGCAGAAGTCACCCACAGATCAGCAGTTGCACACGCGATCAATTTTAATCACATAAGGGCACCACTAACATTGCAACAACCGGCATCGCGCTATTTTCTGAATCTACAATTCACACCACCACGTTGGTCACAGTCGAAAAAACATTCCAAATGATATCACAGCTCACAGTGTCACGCCATGCATTTATCTCAGAAGCTGGGCGATGAAACTATATCCTTTCAGTCACCAAATGGAGCAAAAATGCAACGGCCACCGTCTGACAAAAGAAACATTTGGCTCAGCTCCAAACAGTGCCCGTGCCTAGCGTCCATTTTGTTTCCAAAATGTTATATGAAAGAGAAAGGCACCAACAGGTGTTTGAAAACGACGATCGGTCATAAAATGCAACTAACAGCTTGCAACAAACGAAAATAGACATATATGCACTCTTACCTTTTTGTCCATTAGCACCTACACGCAAGAAAAAAAAAGGAGCAGTTAGATTAATTAATGTATAAATATATATATGTTAAATCTTTTTTGTGTATATAAACATGCAAACAATCAACAACATCATGCAAATGCGGGTTTTAACATATACTAATAGTTAAATGTATTTGTAAGGTTGTTTGTTTTCTGTCTGCCTGCCTGTCTGCCTGCCTGTCTGTCTGTCTGTCTGTCTGTCTGTCTGTCTGTCTGTCTGTCTGTCTGTCTGTCTGTCTGTCTGTCTGTCTGTCTGTCTGTCTGTCTGTCTGTCTGTCTGTCTGTCTGTCTGTCTGTCTGTCTGTCTGTCTGTCTGTCTGTCTGTCTGTCTGTCTGTCTGTCAAAAAAATCTCATTTGCAGTTTGGTCTTACTTTGTTCTCATTAGGTGCTTGTACCAATTCACTCTTTGTCTATCAATATAATTTAGACACAATCTTATCGCAACTGTCTCTCTAATGCTGGTATTCGTAACCCTGTATCTTCTTGTGTTGTTTGTGACCTTACGGTTGCAGCCCATTTTACAGGCATTTGTTTTCTTTTCATTGCCTGTGTTCAGTTGCTGTTTTGCTGAAAGGGAAACATTTGGGTGTCTCAGCAGTAGATCTAACTTGTAGGTGACAGCATTTGCCTTCTTATAGTCTTGCTGCTATCACTCTATCTAGTCTTCCATCTTCTGTAAGTATGCTGTGTAATAAATACAATGGGCTGGATGTTGTACACATCACCCAACACGTCTATATAAAAATATAGACATTGATACACATTGCCGGTACGTAGATTCCATGATATAATGCCTTTACTTACATCAAGTTTGTACAAAAACATTATTATTATCAAGTGCTTTGTCACCTGTCGTGGACGATCGTGACTTACCACAATCTGCGATCTTCAACAGCATGTACCAGTTCGTCTGCTGATACCCCTCCAGTCCAGGACAAAAGGATGACAAAAATCATCTCTCCTATGTCTTCCTCCGTTTCCTTTTCTACAGGCTTTTCTAGTTTTCACAACATGTTCCTGTTTCCTTCTTTAGATAAAACGACTAAATAATGATCATTGTAACTTTTTCTGTTGTCTGTGATAAGTTGTCTTGAGTCCTTGTCTTTTACAGAACAACTTGGTGGCTCTGCCCACTCCCCCCTTTCATTTTCACAAACATATCAGCTTCATCATCATGTGCCGTGATTATGAGCAGAGTCTACCATGTTTCGCTATTTCACACGATCACTAGAATCACGAGTCAGTTCAAAGTTTTGTCTGGCCAGCATATCCAGTTATTTATCAGTCTGCCTTTCTCTTGCTCTCTTTACATAGTCTTCCCTGTTGTTGCCAAGTTCTCTAGTCCGTTCCCTCTCGTAACATGTCAAAAACACTCTGACTGTCCTTGTCTATTCTATTAAGTTTACAACTTTCGTCTGTCTCAATGAGGACTGCTTCGCTGGCTTTTCTTGACTTCCATGATATTCTGCGCATGCGTTCAGAAACCACATGGCTGCCGTGAATGCAGACAAACAATGAGTTGTTGTGTCCTTTATAGAACGTTGCCAAACCAACACCAGCATTTTTTGGCTGTTGTGGTTTTTCAAGGCAAATTTTAACGCTCAGTAGTTTGCCATTGCTTTCTGAACGATCAGCTCTCGGTACCACTGGTAAAATCAGCGCAAGATGTTTTGATCCCAAATCGCCCGCAGCTGGGATGAAACCCGGTACCCCGGCATTACTAAACGCGTTCGTAACGCCTTAGCCACAAACACCGACAAACATATTTGTCTCAGAAATTGAAAACTTACCGCAGAGTCGTACAGAAAGCAACAGAGTTAACAGGAGAGAGAATGGCAACATTTGTCCAGCCTTTGACTGGCTAATACAGCTGTGGAACAGAAAAACACTTAGTGTTACGTAAACAAACAATCAAACACACCAGCATGCACAAACACTCTTATGAAACCGTTATAGTCATCATCATCATCGTCATCATCATCGTTGTGTGTTTGCAAAATGTCGTTCTCATGAAGCAACTTTTTCGAAACCCAGCTTTCATACTTGTGACGTTATGTTATGTTGTCACAATCGACGTCTTGGCACATCGGGCATCCCCATGTGTGCTCAGTCCTCCGTTGCAATAGCCACTCCAATGTAACTAACTATACTGACTGTTGCCATGAGGAGTCGGTTATAGCATGTCCTTGTTTTTACCTAGAAGACGGCATAGTCGTGCTTCACCAAGTTTCACTCCTCTATCACGCAGTCGTGTTAGCGTAAGAGATTCGCCATAATCCTCCAACCTAGTCCGTACTTCGTAGATGACATCCTACTTGTAATGCTTCCCCTGTGAGTTACGGGGCCCCATTTTGTGGGGACCAGTCTAGGTGCACTGCACAAAGTCGACTAATTAGTGATGTATCTTTCGAAATCAGAGTGCATCTGACTGAGAGTCCAGGAACCAGCAATCTACGTGCAAATAAGCTAGATTTGTAAAACGGATGTGCACACAAGACTCAAGTTCTAGAACATGATTAAAGTTCACAAGCTGACGAACAACCATAACCTTTTTACAACCGGTGAACGCGAAGAAGAAGAAGTTTTTTATGAATCTTATCTGCAGAGGTTTTCAGGCTACACCAGTTAGCCGATAGATCGATGTTTCCCCTTCGGTTGCAAGTTAAAGGTTTAACACACTATCCTGGGATTGCTTAAAATCTCAGTTTGGACTGCGAACCAGTAAGGAAAATCCCAGATCCCCTTCAACCTCTTGAGAAAGTATAGTCAGGGCGTTAATAACGATTACACCAGCCAGTTGTCACAGGCAGGACTATGCTGGTAAAGACGACACCACTAGCCTTTACGGATGCGCCAGTTATAACTTTTGGAGGGTCAACGGCGCATCTGTGAACTCCTCCTTCTGGTTCTTTTTCTTCTTCTTTCTTTTTCTTTTTCTTCTTCTTTTCTCTTCTTCTTCTTCTTCTTTCTTCTTCTTCTTCTTCTTCTTCTTCTTCTTCTTTTTCTTCTTCTTCTTCTTCTTCTTCTTCTTTCTCTTCTTCTGCTTCTTTTCTTCTTCTTCTTCTTCTTGTTCTTCTTCTTCTTCCTCTTCTTCTTCTTCTTTCTTCTTCTTCTTCTTCTGGTTCTTTTTTCTTAATCTTCTTCTTCTTCTTCTTTCTTCTCTTTTCTTCTTCTTCTTCTTCTTCTTCTTCTTCTTTCTTCTTCTTCTTTCTTCTTTCTTCTTCTTTCTTCTTCTTCTTCTCTTCTTCTCTCTTCTTCTTCTTCTTCCTTCTTCTTCTTCTTCTTCTTCTTCTTTTATCTTCTTCTTCTTCTTTTTCTTCTTCTTCTTCTTCTTCTTCTTCTGGTTCTCTTTCTTCTTCTTTCTTCTTTTTCTTCTTCTTCTTCTTCTTCTTCTTCTTCTTCTTCTTCTTCTTCTTCTTCTTTACGTCCCCTGTTACCGCTTGGGTGTCGATGAAGACTCATCTGGCTGCTTAAACCATACATTCATCGTGGTGCTGAAGAGTTTCTTTGGTGTTCTCTTCGTATCTTGTTCTTGGTCTACGTCTTACTCTACGTCGCTCTCCACTTTTGGTATATGCCTTGTATAGTATAGCGTCAGAAGGCGTTCTTACCAAGTGGGCAAATCATTTAATTTGCTGTGTTTTGTGATGTCCTTAGATCATTTAGTGCTATGAACAAGCTAGATTAAGTCCCTTTATTACAGGACGTTTTAGAACTAATCCCAACATTGTTTTTTTTTTCCGCCGTTGTATGGTTTTTCTAGGCAAATTTACATTCCATAGTTTGCATTTGTTCCTAAACAGTCGGCTTTTGCTACCACTGTCGAAACCAATACCAGGCGGTCTACTGCCAAATCTCCCTCAGCTGGGATTGAACCAAGCCCCCGGGCTTTACGAAACTCGTTCGTACCATTAAAGCCACAGACGCCGTCAAAAGGCTTTTACATAGTTTTATTTAAATAACAATTCCGTACTCGTTGTCAATATTACGCACGCCTTCAATGCCCACCCGCCCCACCCTTATCCCCACTTCGCAATTTGGTTTAGACATCCTGAAATCTATTCGAGAAAGGGTAGACGTCTTAGAGAAAACATTTTAACAGTTACCACCACCAAAGCAAAAATGATATTTCAGTTACTGCTATACAATCTTTCTACGGTGATGAAACCAGCCGCCACTCCTTGGAAAGTGGTTTCATTAACAGTTTTGGAGTTCTTGGTCCAGGAGTGATCAATACTTAATGTAGCTATATTTAATTTTATTAAATTTAATTTAATTATTCGTTTATGTAACTTGTTTATATCTTCCCCTTTTCTTAACTTCTTAGTAGCCTTATTCGTATCTATTCTGTTTCGCAATAAAGCCCATTTGTGTCCATCTTCACCCCTCCCCCCCCCCCCGCCCAGTTGAGTATTTCATGGCATGTTGACCTTGGTGATTTAGAAGCTCTGTTGCATTGTCCTTTATGACTTTTAGTCATATTTGTTGTTTTATTCAGTACTCTGTTGACAAAGACTTTGGTCGAAAGGTTGGGTTATATTTGTGTGCGACTTTTTCATTTCCCTCCATTGAGCTATTTAGTAACGGCTAATCGTCATCCACATGGTGGCACATTGTGTCATCGGGTGTTTATCGCTTGTGTGATGTCATTGTGGGGTAGAAAGTCAGTCATTCTGTCAGTTTCGTATAATTGCACATACGAAGTGGGATACAATTTTTCGTTTTTGAAGCCCCACCCTGGCTCTTGTCAGGGGCCGCAATATAGCCCGGCCATAAATATGGCCTAATGGCTGAACGCGGTTTCTGGGACCTCTCCACGGTGATCCTCACCCACATGGTGGCACATTGTGTCATCGGGTGTTTATCGCTTGTGTGTTTCCTGGTGGGTTAAAAGAAGATCTAGATAGATAGAGCTTCGTATAAAGTACTTTTCAGTGCCTCTTTTATTTCTGCTGTCCATGTTCTGCGTGGTCGAACTCTGGCTCTCTTACCACTCTATCTAAACACCACTGTCATCTGTAGTGTCATGTATAATGTCAATCTTGTTACATGGCCAAACCATTTGATTTAGTGTCTTTCTATAAAGTTCAGTATTGGTTCTGTGCCGACTCTTCTCCTGGTAACATCGTTCCTATGTCGATCTTTCCTCGTTACACCTAGCATAGTACGTAAACATGTCATTTCTGTCGTGACTATTTTCCTTCTGTCTTCTGAAGACAGTGTCCATGTTTGACATTTATAGCAGAGCGCTGTGTAAAAAACATTGTATTGAACAATGTTCTTTTAGTGTTCATATTCACATGGTTGCATTTCAAAATTGTGGCCATTTAGCTTACAACTTTGTTGCATCATTTTTAGATTTCTGTATTAATTCTTCCATCTTCCGGAAAATAAAAAATAAAAAAATTGCCTCCTAGATATACAAAATCATTCGCCTGCTTTAACTGGTGTTCATCAATCCTGATATTGGTGGTTCTTCCTTTTCTGGGGAATTTCATCATTTCTGTTTTGTCTACCTTGATCTTCATATAGCTGTCGCATACTAAGTGAATTCAATTAATGTGTGATTGTATTTGTACTGCTGTTGGTGCAATGAAAGTCACTGGATAAGGGGGGAATATACCGTAAAAAATTGAAAACAGTTATCGATTGTTTTTTTTTGCACAGTGTGTTATTCTATAAGTTTCTTCTCTCTCTCTCTCTCTCTCTCTCTCTCTCTCTCTCTCTCTCTCTCTCTCTCTCTCTCTCTCTCTCTCTCTCTCTATCTCTCTCTCTCTCTATCTATCTATCTGTCTATCTATCTATCTATCTATCTATCTCTATCTATCTATCTATCTATCTATCTATCTATCTATCTATCTATCTATCTATCTATCTATCTATCTATCTATCTATCTATCTATCTATCTATCTATCTATCTATCTATCTATCTATCTATCTATCTATCTATCTATCTATCTATCTATCTATCTATCTATCTATCTATCTATCTATCTATCTATCTATCTATCTATCTATCTATCTATCTATCTATCTATCTATCTATCTATCTATCTATCTATCTATCTATCTATCTATCTATCTATCTATCTATCTATCTATCTATCTATCTATCTATCTATCTATCTATCTATCTATCTATCTATCTATCTATCTATCTATCTATCTATCTATCTATCTATCTATCTATCTATCTATCTATCTATCTATCTATCTATCTATCTATCTATCTATCTATCTATCTATCTATCTATCTATCTATCTATCTATCTATCTATCTATCTATCTATCTATCTATCTATCTATCTATCTATCTATCTATCTATCTATCTATCTATCTATCTATCTATCTATCTATCTATCTATCTATCTATCTATCTATCTATCTATCTATCTATCTATCTATCTATCTATCTATCTATCTATCTATCTATCTATCTATCTATCTATCTATCTATCTATCTATCTATCTATCTATCTATCTATCTATCTATCTATCTATCTATCTATCTATCTATCTATCTATCTATCTATCTATCTATCTATCTATCTATCTATCTATCTATCTATCTATCTATCTATCCATCTATCCATCTATCCATCTATCTATCTATCCATCCATCCATCCATCCATCCATCCATCCATCCATCCATCCATCCATCTATCTATCTATCTATCTATCTATCTATCTATCTATCTATCTATCTATCTATCTATCTATCTATCTATCTATCTATCTATCTATCTATCTATCTATCTATCTATCTATCTATCTATCTATCTATCTATCTATCTATCTATCTATCTATCTATCTATCTATCTATATCTATCTATCTATC